ACCTGACAAAAATAAGCGAATAAAATAGAAACATCTGTTTTCCAAATACTGATTATAGAGGAGGTACGTTTAAAGCGCCAACCCGAGGGAAGTTTAGGGTTTAGGGTTTAGGATTTAGGGTTTAAAGGGCAGCCTTGCCCTGAACCCTAAACCCTAAATCCTAAGCCCTAAGCCCTAAGCCCTCAACCCTAAACCCTAAAAACCTTTAGTGGTTCCGGCAACCCTGAAGGTTGTAGAGTTTTAGAGGGGCAGCCTTGCCCTGAACCCTAAACCCTGAATCCTAAGCCCAAAACCCTCGACTCCAAACCCTAAAACCCTTTAGTGTTTCCGGCAACCCTGAAGGTTTTAGAGTTTGAGAGGGGCAGCCTTGCCCTGAACCCTAAACCCAAAACCCTCAACCCTCAACTCTAAAACCCTTTATATAGTGTTTCAGGCTACCCTGAACGTTTTAGAGTTTCACCGGGGCAGCTTTGCCCTAAACCCTCAACCCTAAACCCTAAACCTGAAAGCAAACAATAGATGCAAAGGAGGACTGGTGAGAGTAGAGGTGCAGCTGGGACAGAGACGGGGGGGAGGGAGCACTTCGTGAGAACATGCAGCATCCCGTGTCAAGCCTATTGTACCTCATTGATCTCTATATCCTTTCATTGCCATGGCACCTAAGATGAAGAAGCCAGCAGCAGCCGAAGATGCACCCTTGCCAAAGGGTACCGAAGCCAAGAAGCGACCAAGCGGTTCGCCCTCGGAAGAGGGCTTGGAGCCCTTGAGAAAGAAGGCCTCCTTGGCAAAGGGGGCAGGCCTCACCGATGAGAAGCTGCAAGCCCTCAAGGAGATGTCCCTCAAGGAGAAGGTCGCCGCCATTGCTGCCGAGAATCCCGAGGATGTCGAGGCAGCCACAGAGGCCTTGGGACAGGTCGTCACCCCCGCCGAGAAGCAGGGCCTGTGGCAGAAGCACAAGACCTACCTCAACAACAACCCCTCGGAAAAGGGTGAGCACGAGCAGCTGAGCAAGAAAGAAAAGGGCGAGGCCATCTTGTCCTGGTTCTTGCGAAAGAGCCCAACCTATGCTGTTGAGAAACACAGCCGCGAGGCAAAGAGTACCCTTGAGAGAAAGGACAAGTGGCTCTCGCAGAAGCAGGTCGATGGCAAATGGACCGAGGCGGAGCAGGGCATGCTCATCGAGTCCGGGAGGCTCATCTGGCGAGAAGACCCGACAACCCCAGGGCTCTACGAGTACAAGGACACTCAAGACTTCGTGGGCCGCCACAGTGTCTCCGACCGGTCCTCTTGGGAAAGAGTCAAAGAGGAGCAGCTCGCAGACGAGAAAAGCTGGGAGGATGCCTTGGGAAAGGACTTGGGTGCCTTTCTTCGCAAGGTGTCCTTGTCAAAGGGTCTCGGCAAGGGAAGTGCCGACCAGGGCGAGACTTCCTTTGCAAAAGGGCACGGCAAGGCGACTGCCAAGGCCAAGACCAAGGCCAAGGCCAAGGCTAGGGCCTTGGCTCTCGAGGATGGCCAGGCCGACCCCCCCACAAAGGAGGAGCAGGCCAAAGAGGCCTTGGCAAAGGCTCGCAAGATGAGAGACCTCGTCTCGTCGACCACAAGCAACCTGGAAGAGGCCTTGACAAAGGCCAAGGGCTCCCAGTGGGTTTCGCAGGGCCACATCAGCGAAGCCAATGCCATCCTCAAGTCCTTGGAGAGGGAGATGCAGCAGATGAAGCAGCACATCGCCGACCCGAATGTGGATGTGCAGGAATTGAAGAAGGCCATGCTCGGCTCGGCAGCTGTGGTCAAGGAGGCCAAGGATGAGGTCAGGGAGATCATGAGTCTCTCCAGCAAAGCATCCTCGAGGGCAAGCGGGGCGAAGTGACCTTGCAACAGGCCCTAAGCCCTTGAAAAAGGGCCTTGAGCTCTGCTGCATGGCTTGCTATAGCTGCAATGGTAGACCCTTAACCAACAACCCTATAAGCCTGACCCAACCCTTCAAGCTCGAGGGCTTGGGAGTAAACCGTAAGCCCTAGACCCTATATAATCCTAGACCCAAAACCCTTTAGGCCTTTGGGCTTGGGATGTATGCAAGCCAGCTGTACAGTGTTTTTGACACTCTGCCAGATCGAGCCATTGGCAGACCCAAAAATAAACAGTACCTGCTCGGGGGGGTGGAATCATTTTCAGGAGTTTCAGGTTTAGGCTGGCTCGGGGGGGCTTTTGGGTTGGGAGTTGGAGGTAGGGCTGAGGGTTTAAGGACTTTAGGCTTGAGGACTTTGGCTCTAGAGTTTAGGGTGGGGTGTAGGGTTGAGGTTTTGGGGGTAGACTTTTAGGGTTTGGGGCTTAGGGTTTTAGCTTGTTGGCTTGATGGACTGACATCTTATCATATAAGGCTTTAGCCCTCCTAGGGTTTAGGGCTTCGGGCTGAGGCTAGTCCCAACCAATCCACGACACTGAGCCCAAAACCTTTTTTTAGTCATTCGAAACCCCCAGCTGTCAGGACTATGCCATGTGCAAGCCCCTTTGGTTCAAACTGTGTTCCTTTTACAAGAAGATCCCTTTTGCAAGGGAATTTCATGCCGCCGGTCGGTGCCAAACGGCTTCGTGGATGGCAGCTGGACATAGAAGCTGGAAGAGCCGAGCAGTCCCACCTTGAGAAAGGTGAGCAGCCAACACACAGTGCTTTGGCAGGTGCACTGCTGGCACTCTGGAGCCATGGCAAGCTCTCGGCCACCATGCTGCAGTGGCTGGCTATGCAGGCTGTGCTTGATGGAGCTCAGCACGAGGAGCTGGCAGCCATGGCCAAGACCGGGGCCTATGGGTCAAGTCCTGGCAACTGCCACCGCGATTTGATGACCCGGTTCTGCAAGGACATGCCCTTGACAAAGGGCAACGTGGTCTCGGTTCCTGCAGTAGACCCGAAGACCAGCAAAACTGTGCAGGTCGATGCCACAGTTTTCCTGCCACATGTTCTTTTCTCGTCTCTCGACGACTACGACATGTTCCCCGACCTCTTCAGCTTGGCGAATTTGGAAAAGTTCTGGAGTCTTGCAGAGAAGACGGGTGACGACAGGCTGAAACAACACCCCTTGTTAAAGGGGCCTGGCTGGAAGGAGAAGACTGTGCCACTTTTCGTGCACGGTGATGCTGCCGAGTTCCAGTCCCGAGATTCGCTCATGATCTGGTCCTTTGGGTCTTTGTTGTGTGGCCTTTCTTCTTTGCTGTCTCACTTCATGCTGGCATGCTTCCCGAAGTCTTGCTCCACTGCAGGTACCTGGGATGCAAATATCTTGATGCCGATCCCTAAACCCTACAATCTTAAAACCCTATAAACCTTGACCCCAGGCCCCAAGACCGAAACCCCAAACCATCAACCCAGTCTTGCTCCGCTGGAGGTACCTGGGATGCCATCATGAAGTGGGTGGCGTGGAGCTTCGAGGCCCTTGGCAAAGGGCAACACCCGACCCATGACCCGGAGGGCAATCCCTTGAAAAAGGGTTCTCCATTTTTCGAGAGCAGGGGCCAGCCCTTGACAAATGGCGGCTACAAGGGTGTTATCTGGAGCATTCAGGGCGACCAGGAATTTTTTTCCAACACCCTCGGCCTCCCGCATTGGCGAAATGCGAGCCCCTGTTGGCTGTGCGATGCAAAGCTCAGCACAGACAAGCCTGAAAAATCTGTGAAGACCTTGGACATTTGTAAGCAGGACTACTGCTTCACCACGAACCGGCAGGCGATGGAGAGTCCTCGAAGCAAGCACCCACTCTTCGGCTTGCCAGGGTGCTCGTCGCACATGGTCCGTGGTGATGCACTACACATCCTATTCTGTAAGGGTGTCTACAGCCACTTTTTAGGCTCCGTTCTGCACTACCTTTGCTGGTACCCCTCCCTTGCAAAAGGGAAGGCCTCTGGGAAAGGAAAGGGCACTGCTTGCAAATCCCCAGCTGAACGTTTAGCACTGATTTTCGAGCTCATCCAGGCTAAGTACAAGGCACTGGGCTCGCCAACCCGCTTGACCAACCTCAAGCTCTCGATGTTCGTTGACAAGCAAAAGCCTCATCAAAGCCCTCCTTTCCTGGAGATCAAAGGCGCGGAGGGCAAACACCTCCTGCCTGCACTTGCGAAAGTGTGCCAGGAAGGCCTTCTCGACGAAAAAATCCCTTGCGAAAGGGAGATGTCCAGAGCCTTGAGGGCCATGGACAAGCTTGTCCAGCTCTGGGACATGTCCGACATGTTCTTGTCTCACAATGATTTTGTAAAAAATCTGGAGTTTGCATCTGAGTTTTTGCAAGCCTATGAAGCTCTTTCACAGTGGGCTCAGGAGCATGAGAAGCTTCTTTTCCACACCGTTATGAAGCATCACATGCTCATGCATTTGGCCCGAGGTGCAAAGCACCTGAATCCTCGGAGCCACTGGTGCTTTAAGAGTGAAGACTTTGTTGGCCGGGTTGCTGCACTAACACATAGTGTCAGCATGGGGGTGAAATCCACCAACCTTTGCAAAAAGGTTGCGCCCAAATACCGGATTTTGCTGCACATGCTTCTGACTCGTGAAGGGTTCGACCAGATGCAGAGGCAAGTGCAGCCTGTCCAGGACGATTGACCCTTGCGAAAGGGCAACAGCTGCATCTGCGAGAGTGTGCAAAAATGACTGGCCCGAGCTGATCTTGCACATGCACATGTGTAGGATATATATATATATATATATATTGAAAATTCATCGCTTCCTCAGGTTGATTTTATATATTGATTTTGGTCTGGGTTCAACTGATCATAAATATTGATTTTTTTTCCCGCCGAAATCAATTTATTATATTGAAAAAACTCGGAAATCAATATGAGCCGAACCATATTGATTGTAATCAATATTCGATGCACAGGGTATATATATGAACGAATGAAACTGTAAACAATCAGTATATGTATGCTAGACCTTAAATATTGGACCATAGAGGTTCCCTACCTTCCTACAATTCCTGGCAAAGACATCGGGAAGCAAATTGCTGGCAGGGCACCTGCTTCTTCAACTTTCCCAAGCCTCGGCTCTCTTGAGGGTTTAGGGTTTAGGGTTCTTCGGGTTCTTCGGTTTTTGTTTCGGGTTTAGGGTTTGACATGCGCACTCGTACCCCCAAAGCCCTCAGCCTCAACCCCCCAAGCCGCAGACATCAATCGAAGTATGAAAATGCGGGGGGGGGGGGGGGTTTACGATCATAAGGGACCCCTAATATACCCCACCCCCCTCAAATTGTAGGATCCCCTTCATCATAAGGACCCCAGTAAGGCAATTACCCCTAATACCGTAAACCCCACCCCCAAATTGGCACAACAACCCCAAACACATCTGCCGCCTCGACTCCACATGTCGAATCTGCTGCCTGGCAACTCTTGCTCGGCCTGATGTTCGCTGCCCTCAGCGGTTACAGGGTCCAGACTGCAGGCTGTGGTTTAGGGCTTTACCACCCAACTGAATTCTGGTGACAAAACGCAAAACAGCTTCACAGGACAAGGAGGCAAAAGCACAGGCAAGGACGCTCTCTGAAGATCGGGATGAGCCCTAAAAAACGGAACCATAAAGCCAAAGCTCCATCGACCAAGCTTTCCCCATACCAACAACCAATACCTAAACCATAAAGCCTAAACCCTAAACCCTAAACCCTAAACCCTAAACCCTAAACCCTAAACCCTAAACCCTGCACCCTATAGAACCAATACCTCGAAGTCTAGTCAACCAGCCGACGCAACTTTGTGATCGATGGACTCTTTCCTGAAAGTCTACGATTGTGGGTTTAGGGCTCCAAAACCCTTACCCCTCAACCCAAAAATCCTTACTTCCCTACAAACGGAAGGTGGAATCTTAAATCCTAAACCCGGATTCCTGAACCCTAAACCTGACACCCTAAACCTTGCACCCTAAACCCTGTTGGCAGCTGCGTCCCTGGCGCGAGGGACTCGTTCAAACTCCTTGCATGTCAACATGTTGAGGTCGGCTGGGCTTTAGGCTTATAGGGCTTGCTGTGATAAATAAGGCGCAGAAGGCATGCTTTCGAGTTTGGGTTTCAGGTTTAGGGTTTAGGGTTTAGGGTTCAGGGAATAGAGATGTAGCTGCAGCTGAAAATGCAGGTATTAGGCCCGAGCGTGGACAGCCATCACACACCTAGGGCGGCAAAACCGCCACAACATATTCCTTTTAAGCAAATTAATGAAAACATGTGAAAACGGTATTTCATTACCTGCTTTTCGGGCATGCAACGCAGCAGAATTTACCGGTCTTATTGGCGACTCCCGCACTGGCATCGGGAAGCGAGATGAGCGCGTCAACAAACCCTAAGGCCCTAAACCCTAAACCCTAAACCCAAAACTGCTCGATGACTGAACATATACACATTTATACGTATATATGTACACACACACACACATATATATATATATATATACATGCATAGATGATAGATGTGTATATGCGTGTATATATATATATATATATATGTGTGTGTGTATATATATATATATATACATATGCATATATACAAACATGTTTTTATATGTGTGTGGGCTACGCTTGAAGGTTGTTTGTTGAATTAAAGATTTTCTGTGAGATACAAAGGATTTCGTGGCACCCAGTGAGTTTTTAGTGTTTCGGGGTTATGTGCCATATATATATATATACATACATACATGTGTGTATGTACATACAAATAACAATACATCAGAGGATGCTAGACAATGAAATGCAAGGGAGCATGTTGAACTGAATTGATGATTCGTGGTGTGCTTAGATGTGTTCGAACATAATAAGTGTTACTTTTTTGCACTTTACGTATAGATAGTGCTCATGTTCACTATATAGCTCTTAACCAAGAGTAGGTGTGAACAGAAAAAACAGCGGCTGCTTGCTGCTGCAGCTGGAAGCTGCATTATCACCGTCAGCATCATCATGGTCATCATCATTTGGGATGTTCCCCCTCATTCTAACAGTCCTTAAGAGGGGTTATAGTACCCCTTATTATAATCCTTATTAAGGACTGATAGTATAAGGTGGAACATCCCCAATCATCATCATCGTCATCAATTCATGGTTGGGCTGAATGGTTGTGCGCTTCATGCTTCTCAAAATTCCGGCTGCCTCTTTGCGACAGATTGTACGCGTACTTCCGCGTTTCCAGGTCTCTGGGTCACATGTGATGGAAACGGCCCTTCGGCCGAAGAAGCTGTTCTTTTAGACTTGAAGCCGGAATTGTTGATCAGACTTCCAACATGTACCCCCCACCCCCCCCGGTGCTTAACCCTGGGCATCCAGTTACCACGTGGTTGGGTTCTTAAGACCTCCCGAAAACCAATGTCAGGTCCTCGGGTTTAGTGGTAACTAGACTCAGACCGAAGGTCGAGCCGAGTTTCTGACATGGGTCACAGGTCTATTCCCTAACGAGCTCATGATAGGAACCCCTTGTACTCAAGCATACACCCTGAACCCTAAACCCTAAACCCTACACCGTAAACCCCCCGGCCAACTGGAGCTCCTGCGCGATGGCGCCTCTGAAACCATGGGCTCGAACGGAACCTGACAGGCAGGGCTGTAGGGTTTAGGGTCTAGGGCTTGGGGTAAGAGAGGGCTTGGGGTTCAGGATTTGGGGTATCTACTTTTAGTGTTTTCGGGGTTTACAGCCTATATCTTTGCAGGGGCCAGAGGCAGGGAATTTTTCGGGTTCACAGGGGTTAGCTAGGGCTTAAAAGGCTCCTCGGGCTTGAAGGTTTTCGGGACTTAAGGCTGGCAGGCTGGGAAGTGTGAGCCCTTAGCTCTAAAACGTAATTAGTCCCTATCGCTGAAGTAGGGTCCCAAAACCCTAAACCCTGAACCGCAGCGGTTCATGTCCACTGCAGTCCTAATCCGTTTTTGTTAAAGCCCCCCTAAGCCCTTAACCCTAAGCCCTCCACAAAAGCCGGCCCTCAACACTAAACCCTAAAACCCCAAGTCCTAAACCCTACACCCTAAGCCCAAAATCCTAAAACCCAAAGCCCTACACCCGACGAAGCCCGAAAACCCAGACTTTCTCAAGCCCCAAAACCCTACACCCGCAGCCAAACCCTCGACCCTAAACCCAAGCCCCTATAAACCCTAAACCCTGAACCCTAAACCCTAAACCACGGCATGGCCCACCTTCGGCTTGGGGCTGTCGGAGTCCTCCGTAGGCCTGAGTCCAGGGACGCAGGGAGCTAGGATTTAGGGTTTTGTGTTGCGGATTTGGAGTTGGACTTCGGGACGTAGGGATTGGGGATGTAGGGGGGTGGGATTCGGGATTTGGGGACGGGGACTTAGGGTGTTGAGGCTTAGGGTTTTAGCGCTGTAGGGCTTGTTGGTTTCGGGTTTGGGGATCCAGGGTTTGGGGCTTGGCACGCCGAGCGTCGTCTTTCGCTGACCACTGAACACGCTGCTTGAAACCCTCTCTCTCTCTCTCTCTCTCTCTCTCGCTTTCAATCTCCAAAAGAAAGAACAAGCATATCCACATATATATATATACATATATTTTGCATATAGAGATACCTGTTAATCACCCAAGGGTTTCTATAGGGGTACCGACTCCCCATAGTTCCCTACGAAGAGCCAGGAAGCAAACCGCTCCCCATTTCGACTCGCATCTGCCCACTGCTTGCAACAAGGAACAAGGAAGCAGTCTCGAGATTTAGGGTTTAGGGTGTAGGGTTTAGGGTTTAAAGAGAAGAAGAGAGGGGGTGGGGGGGGGGGGGGGAAGTCTTTTAGGGATAGGCTTCACCCACAGACCTG